TGCAGCTTCGCAACCCAGCACTCAACCGCTGCGCCACCGGGGAGGCCCTCTTCAGTGCCTTTTGAATTAGTTGAGGGCTTTTCTCACATTCCACTTATACTGAGTTTTAGTGATAGGCATCCAACTTTTAATTTCTTTTTTTTTTTAATTTTTTTTAATTAATTAATTTATTTTTTATTTATGTATACAAGCACTGGGTACAATCAGAAGCGCGGAGGGTGAGAGAATTCACCAGAGCCAGAGCGGGGAACAGAACAGGCAGAAGGACCGAGGTACACTGCTGAGGGGAGCAGCAGGCGCAGCAGGAGAGGTCTGTCGCGCCATTTGGGACCCTCACCCAGTGGCCAGGGATCGAACCGGCGCTGCAGAGGCTGCGGGCAGCTTCTCAGTCCAGCGCTCAACCGCTGCGCCAGCAGGGGAGGCCCCAACTTTTAATTTCTTAATGGTTACTCTCAAACTTTGAATGTAAATACTTAAGAATTTAAAATTAGTTTCCATTTTCCTTTGAAGCAATTTAGGGACCATAAAAAAGCGCATGGACTTCAATGGGTCTTTCCCACCAGGCTCACAGTAGTTACCAGGTGTGAGCTAGACATGGTGATTCAGGTTTTAGCAATGCTTGTTTAAATTGGTCTTCAGTTTTACAATTTGTCATTTTTTCCCCTGGTCTTCCTCAAGGACCATTTCTTATTTTTATAATGGTGCCTTAAGTTACATTAATGTGTGAACCAACCCTCATGGCACCCCCGGTGATTCTTGCTCCCTGAGATTCGCACTCTGAGGTAATTCCCTCGAGCAATGAACAGGTCTGCTCTGTTTTAGGCCATTGTGGAAATGATGACGTGTGATTTCAGAGGCCTGGTCGTAGAGGCATTGCACTTTTTGCCTTCCTTTTTCTTGGAACACCCCCTTTCTGCTCAGTCACTGAAACACATGGATTAGGGTATTGTCATAAATGAGGACTAGGATTTACCCAGTCCCGATGATATACAGGGTTTTGCTGAGCAGAGGTTAACCTTTTCAGCATTCCTCACCTGCTAGGCACTTAACGCTTGTCAGTTTACACAGCAATTCTGGTTTTGTTTTTTGAAATGCTGTATTATCTTTATTTAAGCATCAAGACCCTTCCATCCAACCATGTCACCTAGTAAGCATTTCACCCACTGCTCTGTTTGGCTGCCAGTCTCTTGTCTCTTGTCTTCAGCAATGAGGCGGATAACTTCTCCTCAGGGGAGAGAGAGCCATGGCTTGTTGCCTCTCCCAATAACAAAAATGTTGGGAGAGACAGGTGGCAAAGCTGCTGCCGTTGGCATCTTTCACATGGACCACATCAAAAGAACCAGGGTGTCTCTCTCTGTTGGTCATCTTCCCAGGGTAGTGCCCATGAGAGGCAGAGGAGAGTGGATTTCACAGTTAATGGATCAGAGAAAAACTATTTCCCATCTATTATTGCCTCACAAAAATATCAGATGGAACCTGGCATTGTTCAAATGGGGAAACACCGGAAAGTAAGAAAAAACTTAAGACAACGCCCAGAACCCAGGACGGTGCTCAGGTGAGTTCTGTTCCCTAGCAAGGACGCGCCTTCCTGTGAGCAGCACCTGCCCAGGTTAGCACCTTTGCTTCCCATACACAGGTTACCAGATGCGCTTAGGGCCAAGAGCCATGGCTGCGCGGAGCCGGGAAAGAGAGCAGTCTGTGTCGTAGTGAGAAAAATGTTTACGTCTCCTCGGCTTTGCCAGAAGAGCTGCAGACTTGAGAATGTCGGTGTCCCCTCACCCCACATTTGAGGCCTGTTTTCCCGTCCAAGGGGTTATCCTCAAAGAGCTTATAGGAAAGGGGGAAATGTTACAAATGTTGTTGGTGCTTGCAAGCAACTGGCACTTACATCATAAAGATAAACATGCTGAGAAGGGCCTCCCTGGTGGCTCAGCGGTTGAGCGCTGGGCTGCAAAACTGCCCGCAGGCTCTGCAGTACCGGTTTAATCCCCGGCCGCTGGCGAGGGTCCCACATAGCACGCAGACCTCTCCTGCCGCCCGCTGCTCCCCTCAGCAGTGTACTTCGTCAGTCTGCCTGTTCTGTTCCCCACTCTGGCTCTGGTGAATTCTTTCACTCTCCTGCACTTCTGACTGTACCCAGTGCTTGTATAAATAAATAAAAATGAATCTCTAAAAAAAAAAATTATAAAAAAAAAACATGCTGAGAAGCTGGAAATTAGGGTTATGTATAACCGCTGTTCTCTGCTCTCAGGAAGGCGCGTCCTTGCTAGGGAACAGAACAGCACCTGAGCACTGTCCTGGGTTCTGCATGTTGTCTTAAGTTTTTTCTCACTTTCTGGTGTTTCCCCATTTGAACAATGCCAGGTTCCCTCTGATATTTATGTGAGACAATGATAGATGGGAAATAGTTTTTCTCTGATCCATTAACTGTGAAATCCACTCTCCCCTGCTTCTCATCAACCCATCTCCTCCAAGCTGTGCGTTTCAGGATGGTGATTTAGTAGCTTTATAGTTTGACAGTCAGCTTCAGGGTTACTTATTTTAAAGTAATAATAATGCTTATTTAAAGTAATAATGCCTAAGTTGTTTGTTTCACAGTCAAAATCATGCTCTTTGATGTAAAATATACTTAAGCCATCAGTACACTCCTCAGAAGTTTACCTTTTTGTGTTATTTGCAAAGCTCATTCAGACTGTGACAGGTGCCCTTTTAAAATGGAAGCAATTGTAGTGACTTCCTGTATTCTCACAAAGGAAAAACTTTCCCTTCCTTTTTCCCTCCTGATTTTCACTTGAAGCTGATAAATGCTGTTGTGACTTGCTCATCTGATACAACCATTTCTTGGTAAGACCAAAGAATAACCCAGGTCACTTGCCTTCTGATACCAAAAGGACCATCAGTTTGATTCAGACTGAAAATTTAGTTTTTTTCTTTGATCCAGACCTTTGTTTCTCCTTTCTTCCCCCTTTTCTGTCTAAAATACGGCCTCCTCACTATTCATTGACACCCTATTAGAAAAAAAATAGGGGGAGGCATGTGACTGTTTCTCGGGGAGCCTCTCTGCTTCCAATTTATATGGAAATAGCATCTGAAACAGCTGGTAAGTGCAGGTTGGGTCATTTCTAGATACCACTTATGCCGTCGACCTTTACCTTACAGTGAAACACAAACCAGAATAATTGATACGGTTTCGAAAGATTCTTAGTATATTTTTGTTTCATTTTCTACCCAGTTACCAAGCAGATAGCCTGATTCTTTCAGATTTAGTATAGTGGTAGCTAAAGAAAACATTTCCTTGAGAGAACTTACGAGGACTAAATAATAGGTCTTGGCTGAAGCTGTACCACAGTTACTCATCTCCTTTTCTGTGACCTAGTATTAATTATAAGTACTGTCATGTTTGTTGGCAAATTGTTCAATATACTTAAACTGCTCAAAAGCAGAGATTCTTACTCGTTTGTCTGTGTCTCTCACGGCTCCTAGCAGAGAGCTAATTACAGAGAAGAGCCAAGAGTAAATGGTTGATGAAGATCTTGCCGGGCAAAGAGAAAGTCCTTAGCCCCACGGTGGGCTCCGCCATTGTTCCTCTGACTGTCTGTCGCACTGATGGTGGCGGGATGGTCTCTGCATGGGAGCAGGTGCTATGAATTAGAGAGCTGCTGTGGTTCGGGGGATGAGAGTAAAGGCCAGGCTCTCCTTCCGTAGGAAGAGCAATTGCTTCACTGCTCTTAACTAGAGGGAAGTCCCTCTCCCCGCACCCCCCCCAAAAAAAAAACAACTAAGGCTTAAACAGTGAACAGATAATTGTGATAATGGTTCCAAGTGGAGCATTTTCCGCATCTTCCGACATGCCAGGCTCTGGCTGCCTTTCATTCTCTCCCTTCATCCGGATCACAGTGTTGTGAAGAAGAAACTATTGTTACTTTCATTTTGCATGAGAAAACTTATGTGTTAACTTCATTTTGTGTGGTGACAGAGGTCACCGAAATTTACCCAACAAGAAAAGCACCAGTAGAGTCCAGGAAAGAAGATGACACAGAAGGAAGAGCCATTTACCTCATTTCCCCCTAATTTCCCGGGAGGGGAGAGGGGTGAGAGATTGAGTTCAGTCGTCAGTGGCCAATGAGTTAATCAGTCGTCCCCTATGTCATGAAGCCTCCATAAAAACCCAAGAGTAGGGGATTTCAGAGAACTTCTGGGTTGGTAAATATGGGAATTTGGGGAGAACGGCATGCTTGGAGAGGCCAAGGATGCTCCGCGCCCCATATCCTCCACGCCCCGTATCCTCACACCTTATCCTATGCAGCTCTTCTGTCTCTTCTGTCACAAAGTGTATGCACTTTGTGATAAATACGTGCTCTAGTGAACAAATGGGTTTTTGAGTTCTGTGAACCCAAGGAGGGTGACCTGGGAACCTCTTATCTACAGCCAGTTGGTCTAAAGCACAGTAGTAACCTGCGCATGTGACTGTCACCTGAAGTCTGAGGTGGGGATCTTGGGAGCCTCCAATCTGTAGTTGGTTGGACAGAAGCACAGGTAACAGCGTGGGCTTATAACTAATGTGAGGGATGAAGGGTGGTCTTGGGACCTGTGGAATCTGATGCTATCTCTGGGTAGGTAGGTAGTGTTAGAAGAGGGATGAATTGCCAAGCAGGATGTCCAAGACTTGCTTGTTATTGTGGGGAGACTACCCAAAAAAGGTAGAATAGAAACTGGGCCTCCTCCTCCCCCCTCAGAAATTGCTCCTGCAGAATAGGTGTGAAAGGGTGTGTGACTTGGGCTTGGGATAAATGGGCATCCACAGTGGTTCATGGAATAATGTACGTTTTTGACACTTACCAAGTAAAAACTTAAATAAGAGGAGGCTCCTCTACTGAAGGACATAGTTGGACTGAGAATGGCATTCCTAGTTCGGGTAAAGCTGCATTTGCCCCAACAGATTGTCACTTTCTCATACGTCCTTTCCTTTGACTGGATTTTCTTTCTCTTTGTTTTTGTAGGCTTTTCAGTTTGACCCTGAAGAAACTCGTCATGCTAAAAGAAATGGACAAAGATCTTAACTCTGTGGTCATTGCCGTGAAGCTGCAGGTGAGCTGAGCAGGGGTGTTTGTTCAGGGGCCGAGGAAGCTGACTAATTTTTTGCCTGCTGTGGAGGCTTAAGAACGACTGCTGGCAGTCATCCCCTTCCCTCCACTCTGCAAGGCACGGTGCTGAGGAGACCAACTGCGTCTCAGCGCTGCCTCTTAGTCAGTGCACTCTGTCTCTTTAAAGTTCAGGTTCTTTGAATAATAAGAACAGTTCCTCCTGCCCTGCCTGTCAGACCCGATTAGTATGAAATGAAGTCGTGTGGACACTAAGTGTTCTGTAAACTGTTCATCAGTGCCCAGGATGCTAGTGTCCATTTTGGTCTTGTTCCCAGCATTTCTAGGTCCAAGCAGACACATGGATTAGGGAAGCACTTTGTAAATTTTCTGAAGGGTGGTAGAAACAGATTATTATTTCAGACTTGACAGTTTAAAATTTGCTGGAATATTTTATGTTCTAGGTAATCTGCACATTTAATTCATTGTACTTAGCTCAGTATCTTCACGGTACCTGAAATATTTCACAAACATTTATATTCTAGCATTTCTGAATTTCAGGAAAAAAGGGAGAAATTGAACTAGAAAAAGGTTAAGGAATTTACTTATTGCCACTAAGTACCAAGTGGCAGAACTGGGTTTAGAAGCTAAAGAGCAGATGACTTATATGTCATTACATGTGGTCATTACACTGCACTTCCAGGCTTCCCTTAACTGATAAGTCCTTCCTAATGATGGCTCCCCAGAGCTTCCTGAGATTCTGAAGTGCCTCTGGAGTCATTAAGTAATGATCGGAGGGCCTCCTTGGTGGTGCAAGGGGTTAGGTTGCAGCCTATGAAGCTGTCTGCAACCTCTGCAGCACCAGTTGGATCCCCCAGCCGGCCAGGGAGCAACTCACATGGCACAGCAGACCTCTCCTGACTCGCCTGCTGCTCCTCTCAGCAGTGTATTTCAGTCAGTCTCTCTGTTCTGCTCCTTGCTCTGTCTCTGGTGAATCCTCTCACCCCCCACACCTCTGACCTGTGCCCCAGCTCTTGTATGCATAAAATAAAATAAATCTTTTTTTCTTTAAAGATTTATTTATTTATTCATACAAGCACTGGGTACAGTCAGAGGCGCAGGAGGGTGAGAGAATTCACCAGAGCCAGAGTGGAGAATAGAACAGGCAGAGTGACGAAGTACACTGCTGAGGGGAGCAGCAGGCGGCAGGAGAGGTCTGCGCGCCATGTGGGACCCTCTCCCGGTGGTCGGGGATCGAACTGGTGCTGCAGAGGCTGCGGGCAGCTTCGCAACCCAGTGCTCAACCACTGCGCCACCGGGGAGGCCCCAAAATAAAATAAATCTTTAAGAAAAAAAAAGTAATGATTGGATTCTTCAGCTTCAGAGTGATGCATTTAGAATCCTTATTGATTGAAAAATAGTGACCTATATGGTAACTCCCTACGAAGCAGAATATTTTTTAACTAGATTACCTATTACATCGCGACTTATTGTGCTAATATTGGTGTTGGTGTCATTAAAAGCCACATCTAGAGCACTCACAGTTGTGAGCCATACATTGAGGTTCTCAAATTTCTTTCTGAGATAAATCCATTATCTTAATTTAGTTTTCAAAACTTAAGGCATTTCAATTACTCCTGTGGACAATACCTCCCAATTCTGTGACATGTTCCCAGACACCCTGGGCTGAAAGTGCAAGTGTGGGACAGTGATGTGCAAGTGGAAACTTTCAGTATCTCCCTCCTCTCCTGATTTTGCACCCCATTTCTAGGTCACAGGCAGTGTTCCAGTTTTCAGGAATTGTTTCCTTTACTTAAAAGCGGTTGCTTTCCAATGCAAACACTATTAGTATGGTTTTGAAAGTTCCCTGCTGCTTTTGCCAGGCCTACAGTTAAATTCCTTTGCCAAAAGAATAATGTCTTTTATTTTCTGATTAAATATTTAACATTTTGTAAAATTTTAAATTATACCAAAAAAGCTACAAATACTGTGAATTTTTTGCTGCTCTACTTCAAGCAACTGAAAGTAATTATAGATGTTCTATCACATTAATTTATCCAGTCATTTATGTATTCATTTATTCATTCATTTAATAAATATTTATTGAGCGCCTCTGGCATGCCAAGCAGAGGACACAGTAGTGAACAAGACAGCCATTCCTGCCTGTGAGTTCTTTTATACCCTAATGGACCAACAGTTCTCAAGTGAGATCTGCAGACTTGGGGGTCCCTAAGACTTTCAGGGGTACACAAGGCCACAACTCTTTTCATGATATTGCTGTGCCATTATTTACCTTTTCCACCAAAGGTGCAAGACAAGGATGGACCAAGCACTGGCCCTTGACACAACCAAGGCCATTGCCCCAGGGTGTAGCAGTGGTCCTCACGTTATTTATATCGTGCTCTCAGATGAAGAGAGAAAAAGCCAGTGTTGCCTAAGAATGTCCTTGAGGAGGCAGTAAAAATTGTTTATTTATTACATCTCAATCCTTCAGTACAAGTCTTTTTAAGATTCTTTGTGAAGAAATGGGAAATCTACATAAAGCGCCTCTGTTTCATAGCAGAGTGCTGTTGCTTTGAGAACAGGTACTTGTGTGATTAAGTTTTGATTAATAAAGTAACTGCTTTTTTGGTGGAATGTCACTTTTACTTGCAAGAGGGCTTACAGACAAACTGGCTATTTAGACTCAGGTACCTGGAAGGCATTTTCTTAAAAATGAACAAAGTTAATCTGTCACTTGAAGGAAAATAGCTGGGAATATTTTTAGTCAATAATAAATAAAATTTGAGCTTTCAAGTGAAAACTAGAATTTTAGAAAACTTGTCTCATCACTTGTAGGCTTAACAGCTTTCCCATCCTTAAGGACTTGTCTAGAGATAGGTGGTTGATGATAACAGTAGTGATTTTTTTTATTATTATATTGTATAATGAAATGTGTAACATTTGAAAGCTTTTCATAACTCATTGAACCGTGTTTTCCAAATGGCCAGTTCATCAGGTTATAAAATCATGCTGTATAAACAATTCATTCAGGAAACAAAACACTGGATTTGATTTTATTTTTTACTTTATTTTGAAATAATTTAAAATTTATAAAAGAGATGCAGTGTTAGTACATAAATTCCCATATGCCAGTCACTAAGCTTTTGGTAACTTTTTTCTTAACTATGGTACATTTATCAAAACTAAGAAATTATCATTATCAGATACTATTGATTAATAGTATTAATTACAGTCTCTATACAGACTTCCCAATATTTCTGATGATGTGCTTTTTGTGTCCATTGACTGAATTTTGATATATAATAATAAATATATAACCTTGTTGGTATGGTTTTGAATTCTTTGTTGCCACTAGCCCTTTACAGGCTACCACTTGTAGAGTTTTGGTGTGGTATCAAAGAAAAATATTTCACAGTTATCTGAAAAGGCTGTTAAAATGTTCCTCCTTTTTCAAACTTTGTTTCTCTTTGAGTATGAATTTTTTCATATACTCAACATTGAAAAATAGATTGAGTACAGAAATAGATATGAGACCCCAGCTGTCTTCTCTGAAACCAAACATTAAGGAGATTTGCAGAAATGTAAAATACACTGCTGCTGGAAATGTAAAATGGTGCAGCCACTTTGCACAACAATCTGGCCGTGTCCCCAAAAGGCTAAAGAGTTGCCATGGGGCCTTGCAGTTCCATTCCTAGATATTACACAAGAGAAATGAAAATACATGTCCGCACAGACCTTGCACACAAATGTTCACGGCAGCATTTACTCATAGAAGCTGAAAGTGGAAACAACCCAAGTCATTTCGCTGAGAATGGAGAAATAAAATGTGGTATATCCATGTAACAAAATATTATTTGGTAATAAAAAGAAATAGGGTCCCATGGGTGAGCATTAAGAACATGACCACACGTGGTCTGACTCCATTTATCTGAAATGCCCAGAGCAAGTGGATCCTCAGAGTCTGGAGGTAAAATTGTGCTTGCTTGGGGGGATGGGACTGGAGCAGGGTAGGCAGGTAAGAAAGTTGTTAGAATGACAGCTCAAGAGTTAGGGGTTTTTTTGGGGGTGACAAAAATATTGTAAAACTAGTGGTGAATTGTGGTATTGAATTATATCCTTGTAAAGCTGTTATAAAAATAACTGCCATCTTTTTAGTAAATCGTTTTTAAAGACATTTTTTCTTAAAAAATGTTTTGATATAATCTCATAGTAGGTTTTATCATTATTTCTAGATGAATTAATGTTTGTTTTTAAATAACCAGTTTAAATCCCTAATGTGGTAAATACTGATAATTTTACCTACATAAACCAAAGCTATTTCAGAGCCTCAATAATTTAAAAGCTTGAAAGTTCCTGAGATTGAAAATTAAAGAATCATTATAGTAAAAGAAGTGACAATAAACATAACAAGAAATTCATAATCAGGCTTTCCTTGAAATCATATCCATTCTTGAAAACATGTTAGATGTGGGCCTTCCCGGTGGCGCAGCGGTTGAGCGCTGGGTTGCGAAGCTGCCTGCGGCGTCTGCGACGCCAGTTCGATCCCCGGCTGCTCCCCGGCCACCGGAGGAGGGTCCCGCATGGCGCACAGACCTCCCCTGCCGCCCTCTGCTCCCCTCAGCAGTGTACTTCGGTCCTTCTGCCTGCGCTGCTCCCCGCTCTGGCTCTGGTGGATTCTCTCACCCTCCCACGCTTCTGACTGTACCCAGTGCATGTATAAACAAACAAACAAACAAATAAATAAATAAATGCCTCTATAAAAAAGAAAAAGAAAACATGTTAGATGTATCTTCCCTTATTTAATATTTTTTTAAGATTTATTTATTTATGCATACAAGAACTGAGGTACAGGTCAGAGGTGTGGGTGGTAAGAGGATTCACCAGAGATAGAGTGGGGAACAGAACAGGCACACTGAAATACACTGCTGAGGGGAGCAGCGGGGAGACAGGAATTGCCCTTGAGTGAATTGTGGGGAAGCAGGTTTTGAGAGAAAGCTCCAGAAT